GTTTTTGCTCATATCTCGGAGGCAAAATGAGCAAGAACGCTCATTTGTACATCATTCTAGAGAGAAATAAATGGGCTTTTTAGAAAATGAACCATGGAACTCCATAAACTCTCAACCTCAAATACTTTGGCATAGCAGTAAACTTGTACATTGTCCCCAGGAGGCAAAGCATGGACTCGAGGCGTCCAGAGTTTTTTGACTGCCACTGAGTTGGTCGCTAAACTAGGAGATATGGACACTTATTGGTTGTCCCGTAACTTAACAGCTTGCTATGAAATGCTCGAAGAGTTTCGTATTCTTCTTGCCACCGTCCATTTTGGCTCTGACATGTCCAATGTTAACCGCGACCCGATATGCAGTTCAGGAATCGCTGTTCTATACTTGCGTGACCCAGTTAGTTACCGAACACCTGGATCGAGGAATAGTTTTTGCTTCCATGGGAATATCCCAATAAACATCCATACATGTTTTCTGCTCGCTGTGCTGTACGATGACCGAGAGGTGTACCAGAAACTGCTAGGCGGCTTTTACGACCAAGACAGTTACTATGAAGCGTCCGACACTGCTTCATGTGTATCAACGTCGTCCAGCAGCCTGAGTGGCGAAAGTGAAACTTCTGATGATTTAATTTTCCATAAAGCGGACAACGACCACGAATCTGCTGAAAACAGTCTAAGTGATACAGAAGCTGACAAAAATGCAGTTTATATGATTAAGCTATTCAAAATAGCCGCACAAAGGGATCGAATAGTCGAAATCTTCAACTTTGCATGCGGAGCGTTCACTAACAGCTTAGACGTCATCACAGAAATACGCGAACAACCGCTGATAACACATATAAAAACCAAAATAACAACCATTACAGAATCTACTAATTCACTCCTTGATCAACTGAGGATGAAAATCCACAATAAAGACGTTGCGCCCGGGGAATCATGCAACACGTTGATCGGTTCAACCTCGACAGCAACGGAGGCCAACGATACATTGCTATGCATTAAAATCATTGAAAATGAAATGAAAGAGTGTGCACAAGCACTAGCTGGTTTGCTTCAATGGGTGAAATATATATCAAATAAGGTAACCAAGGTTTACGACCACGACACAGACCTGAGGAAAATGAACTATTATTATAACATCGTTGATAATTACCATACGATCGTTAATATCTATTTAGATTCGTATTCTTCTTCTACATTAGAAGAACAGGAACACCAAATACCTGACAAGTTGGCAAAAGTTCATTCTAATGCTACAGACGAATCTACTACTAGAAATTGCCTATTTCAAAACGATCCATATAACAGTGATAACAACGCAGATTGTAATGCCGTATCAGAACAGCATGCTATTTTATTCTTTGAGCAAATGTTCCAGCTACAAAAAATTACTGTTCAGTTGGCTCAAAATATTAGCAATGGCTCACTTGTGAAAACCTTTAAAATTCCGAGTGAGACAATCAGCCTATTGGCAACACTTATAGAACAAGTAAAAATAATTTTAGGTGACAATTATAAATTAGATCAGATTTTTGCAGCCCAGGGCCATGTAGTGCTTACGCACATAGCACGTCCCAAGGAAGCCAATAAGACCCAGCAGCCAAACAACGTTCCGTTAAAAATCGCTCAAGATCCTCATGATGAATTAAACAAACTGAAACGTTTCCTTGATGGACTATTCACGAAGAGCGGCACAGTAAAACCGATAGATAGCTTTAGAGAGACCACTGTAACAGTGCAAGTGATCTTGAACCATCTTCAACTATTTTGGGAAACCATTTTGGAAAAGCGAATCCAAGAGGTTAAAAACAATGGCATCAGAATTGATGAGAAAAATAATGAAGTTAAACCCTTA